CTGACATCATCGGAAGTGTGTCCCCATTAACCAGGGCCTCTTTATTTCAGGAACATTATCTGGCTGGGTTTTATTGGATTTCTTGTAATGTTGTTGTTGGAGGAGGCCTCCCTGTTTTGTTGATAATTGATAAGAAACATTTTATGAGTTTGGTGGTTAAATGGTATGACTCGTCAGCCGAGCGTGGGCGCCCTCCCCTCGGCTGGCGCAGCTGTGCAACCAGAGGAGGGGTCTGCCCTCGTGGCCCAATGAGGCAAAGGCCCCCCTCCCCCTGCCGGCCTCAGGCTAGACAAAAGCGTCCTCCACTGCCCCCGCCCCCCCCGGGGGGCCGAGCAAAGGCAGCGGCGGCGCAGGCCGGGCTTGCGCCGGGGGTGGGGGCTGGGCTCAGGCCGCCCCTCGCCAGGGAAGCCCGCCAGCCAGCCAGCCGGCCGGGGAGCCAAGAAGGGCCGGGCCGATGACAGAGGGCGCAGCGGCAGCCTGGCCGGACCCCAGCACGTGAGCGCCGCCAGTGTGCCCCTGCATGCGTGCAGAGAGCGGCCACAGGGAGTGGGCCAGGAGGCCTCCCTGTCCGTTTGTCCGTCTGGGCACCTGGCCTCCATGGCCCGGCGGGCAGGCCGCGGAGGAGGCTGGGGCTCGGCGGGGCCTGCTGCGAGGAGGAGGAGGAGGAGGGAGGAATGGAGCACACGGGTCCAGCCCTGCCTGCCTACCTCGGGGTCTCTTAAGGGCTGCGGCAGGGTCCTTCTCCTGTTCTGCGGACATCGCCGGTGCACCATCGCTCCGTCCCGCGCCCAGCCACCCAGCACCGCCTCGCTCACCTCTCCGGGGCGGGGCCCACACGCCTTCCCAGGCGCCCCAGCCAGCCCGCCAGCCCGCCCGCGGGGAGGCACTTCAGGGGCAGGTGGGAGAGAGCGGAGGGCGAGGATGGAGGGCCGGGGCCTCAGGCCAGACAAAAGCGTCCTCCACCGCCCCCACCCCCCCGGGGAGCTGAGCAAAGGTGGCGGCGGCGCAGGCCGGGCTTGTGCGGGGGCTGGGGGCTGGGCCCAGGCCGCCCCTCGCCAGGGAAGCCCACCCGCCAGCCAGCCGGGGAGCTGAGAAGGGCTGGGCCGGTGACGGAGGACACAGCGGCAGCCTGGCCGGGCCCTGGCACGTGGGCGCCACCAGCGTGCCGGGCCGCGAAGGCGGCTGCGGCTTGGCGGGGCCTGCTGTGAGGAGGAGGAGGAGGAGGGAGGGAGCACGCGGGCCCGACCCTGCCCGCCTACCTTGGGGTCTCTTAAGGGCCGCGGCGGGATCCTTCTCCTGTTCTGCGGACATCACCGACGCACCATTGCTCTGTCCCATCCCCAGCCGCCCAGCGCCGCCTCGCTCGCCTCTCCGGGGCCCCGCATGCCTTCCCAGGCGCCCCAGCCAGCCCGCACCCACGCTCGCGGGGAGGCACTTCAGGGGCGGGCGGGAGAGAGTGGAGGGCGAGGAGGGAGGGTTGGGGCTTTGTTGTGTGCCTCGCCCCCCGCCCCCTCACCCGGGGGAACGACGATCCCCCGCGATTCCCCCGAAATGACCCCTGGTTTATACAATAAAAGAGTAACACATAATGATCAGAATTCACTTAAATAATGCAATTTTTAAAAAAATGTGTGTAAAAAGTAACAACATGGATTTCTCCTTGCTGACATGATGTGTTTTAAGTTTTAAAAAAGCAACTCTAGACACTAAAGCAAAAGCAGTAATTTGATACCACCTGAACTTACTCAAGCATAAAGGAGAATCACACAAGGGGAGATATAAAATCATTTTCCCACTATAAGTCTGCCTAGAATTCTTTCATAGTTAATGGTGAGTATCATTATTTCCAATGCAGTATATGGATTACTGTTGTCATAATAGCTACAACTAGAATTCTCAGGTTGGACACTTCTGCTTACCTGATGCTAGTGGAAAAAAAACAAGGGATAGCTTAAGTGTAGACAACCTTTTTGGGCTTAGTGCTGGGAAAAAACACATCTACCTGTGAAGATGTTGGTGTGCTGGCAAGTTAGTGTGGAGGAGAGATGTTGATTGTACTCAGCCAGAGAGACTGGGAGGAAGCAGTGGAGACAAATGGCTTATCTTGGACATGGCTGGCAAGTGTGCAGGTCCAGGAGGCAATGAAGAGCGTATCTGGGCTCTTCTGCATTCTCATTTCCCTTGCTTGTATGTCGCTACTGCTTTGGGGCTACCCCCCCTTTACACATGTTTTTCACTTCCTCTAGTGGTTGATTTGATATTACATCTGTAGTATAATTACAGCTCAGTATCCAATGATGGGTGAATGCAACAGAAACAACTACATTAGTATGCTGAGTCATATCCAAATTTCAGAAGTCAACCAAGTATCCAGTAGGTCAGACCAACTAACCAGGTCAATGAACCCTGAAGATGGCAACAGAAAGAGAAGACGAGCCTCCTTGGGGAGAGAGTTCCAGAGTTTTGGTGCCAAGACCAAGAAGGGCCTCTCCTGGGTTGCTTGCCACCCGCCTAGTCTCAGAAGGTGGGGGGCCCTCCAAAGCAGGGCCTCCAAAGATACCCACAGTGGTCGGGTAGGTTCATAAGGGAGTAGGTGTCCTTTAAGTAAGTTGTCCCCTAACCACACAGGGCTTTAAAGGTTGACACCAGCACCTTGAATTATGACCAGAAACAGAGCCAGTGTAGATGGGCCAAAACTGGAGTGATATGTTCCCTATGACCCATTCCAATCAACATCCTGGCTGCAGCATTTTGAACCAACAGAAGTTTCCAAACACATTTCAAGGGCAGCCTCATGCAGAGAGCATTGCTGGAACAGGAATAGGAAAACTGCAACATGATTTTCTAAGAGAAGAGTGTTCTTGTGTGAGCTCAGACTTTCAATAAATAGCTTACACAAGTAGGCTGCTCCTGTGAACAGTTAGCTTATTGCCTTTATGCACTTGTCTTGTGTGTCTGGACTTAGAACAGACAGGCTTTGATGCATTTTTGATAAGCCTTTCTGCATTTATGATGTAACACAGAGAGATAATGTGCTGATTAGACACTTCCAGCTAACTGGCATTCTTCCATAAATGGGATACCACATGTCGAAGCCAACAAGATTCTTATACAATGCATAACTCACTTGAGAAGCCATAGTGAGGGCTACTAGCTTAGATGGCTTTTAAAAGAATTAGGCAAATTCATGGCACATAGGTCTAACAATGGCTATTAGCAATGACTACTCCATATTCAGAGGCAGTAATCCTTTGAATGATAGGGCCACCAAAGGGTTCTTGCCTTATGAGCTACTGATATGGTTCACAAAAACACTGACTAGACCAAACAGGTCCTTGATAAGTCAGGGCTGGAGGTTTTTTATGGTGGAAAGGAAAAACATCCCAGAAGTTCAAGCATCACTCAAAGCAGACCATGTAATCACCAATTGTCTAGACTCAGGAGGACAATAGATATAAATTAACCAGTTCTCTGATGGTCTGACAAGCAACATGATCTTTCTTGGTTTCTCTCCCTTTATGGTTTTCAACATTTTCAGGGCTTCCATTAGTTCTGAGGTATACCAAATACTTCTGATAACTTTGATTCTCTTTTGTTTTTGTGGCCTAGCACAAAAGTACCAAAAACATAAGAACATAAGAGAAGCCAATGTTGGATCAGGCCAATGGCCCATCTAGTCCAAAACTCTGTCACACACTGGCCAAAAATACCAGGTGCCATCAGGAGGTCCATCAGTGGGGCCAGGACACTATTAGATACATAGCCTCTACTGAATAAGGACCAGTTGTTTACCATATAATGAAACTTTTCCCATCCAGATGTATTTGATCTGTAAACATGCATGAGCTGTCCAGCACTGAGGTAGTACATAAGGCATTAAGAGGTGTTGCCAGAATTCATAATTATCTCAGTCAGAAGACAAAGTTGTCCAAATTTCAGTCCTCAGATTGAAAATTATTCTGCAGAAACTCACTAATAGCAAGCTAGTTTCAAACTGAGCTAAGGAGAGTTGGCCTATCACTAATAACCCTACCTAATTATTTTTCCTAAGTGCACAAAGCATTTCTCACACATTATCTCAATGGTCCTTACAACAAGACAATAAGGTAGATCTGATGAAATGGACCACATTTTACAGAGGTGAAAATGAGCAGTTTGCCTACATTCATATAGTGAATTAATGGCAGAGCTGCTATATGATATAGGGACTAGGGATGGGCACCGACCATCAATACATTTGACTGAGAAAAACTTTCACTTAGGAAGCATTTCACTCATTCCAAAAGAGAAAAATATCTCATAGGTGTAACTTCCTCAGTGCTGCCTTAAATTTCCCAATTTTTCAGTTGGGAAAAAATTGGGGGGGGGAGAACAACAGAAGACAATCCCCCCCCCCCATTTTTTACTATCTTTCTTGGGCCTTCAACTTTTTATCCACAGCATGGCCTTTTTGGTAGTCAAAAGGAGCACCCTCCTCTTCCTGCTGCTAGTGGAAAAGCTAGTAGGATTCAAGCCCATGTCTTGATCAGTGCTCCCCCTCTCCTCCAACATAAGGCAACCCATGAAAGACATTTGGTCTGAACTATAAACAGGCAAACAAACAAACAATAATTTCTGGGATACTATAACAGCCTCCATTGCCTGATTCTATTGATTTGAATTGCAGACCTATCTTTCCTGCTTACGCTATGACTGTACTGAAGATATACTAAACCACTAACAATTAGTAGGACACATTTAGGCTCAGGCCAAATTCTCATGCTATCAGCTTTTGACCTCCATGACAAAAGAACAGTGACAAAGCACTGAAACTTCCTTCCTTCCTTCCTTCCTTCCTTCCTTCCTTCCTTCCTTCCTAATTCAAAGTCTCTAATGGTAGCATCCTACTCTAAAGTTGCTTGAAGCTAAACAAGAGGATGAATTCACGTTCAGTCACATCATTTCATTTGGTATTACTGGTTTGCTTAGATCAAGAGGAATAATGACAACCATTTACTTACATCCAAAGAATCTTCATTCAGAAGGATGAGAGACATACTCTGAGACACTAACCGGCAGGAGTAGCCTATGGAGATACCAACAGACAGACAAACTAAGCAATGCAATAAAAGATAAAGTTGCTCACAATAGCTACAATACTTTCTCTTTTGCAATCATAACTACAAAGTTAAAAATCAACAATAAAACAGAAAGGAGTACAGCTATCAATCAGGTGAAGAGGCCTATTAAATAAAAAAGCATCTAGCAGTTTGTTAAAATTCATGAAGATTGACAGAGAGGAAAGAATGGACAAAGTCAATTCTATCTGGGACCACCATGGTGAGAAACAGTGTGATGAAGTGGTTAGAATATAGAACTAGCATAGGACAGACCTGGGTTCAAACCCCCAGCCTGTCACAAAGGGCATTGAGTTAGGCATCTCAGCGTAACCTGTCTCACCAAGATACTGTGAGGACAGAATGGAGCAGTAAGACCAGGGGTCGTTTGGGGGGGGGGAAGCGGGGGGACGCCATCCCCCCGGGTGAGGTGCGGGAGGGCGGGGCCTGGAGCTCCCTGCTGGTGCCCGCTGGAGGTCGCCGCCGGCTGTGGGGAGGACACACTTCCGGTGATGTCAGGGTGTGTGGCATATGCTAATGAGTTATGCTAATGAGTCCCCCTAGCTCTTTTTCTACGAAATGACCCCTGAGTAAGACTATGTACTGCGGACTAAGCTATGTAGTAGTGGCAGATAATATATATATAATATCCAAAACCACACAAAAACAAACAGAACTCTAGCATACATCTTAAAAAGCAGGGTTAAAAAATCCTATGCACCTGATCCTGGAGGAGAGCGAATTCGTTGCAGAAATGACTCCTGCCACTTAAGCTCACAGATCACTGAGGCTATGCAAGAACAAACATCCTGACAGGCATCCCAGTCTCTAGCAAGACAGAAACCCAGAAGGGAGGGAGGGGAGGGGTCAGAAGCCAGGAAGGGTGAACCTGACCTATGCCACACACATTCACACTCACACACAGTCGGCTGAGGTGGGCCAGAGACCATCTCTTCCAGTATTATACTGGGAAAATTCCAATGACTGGTACTTTTCTGGTTGTGGTGGCCACTACCTGGTTCTGATCTAGACTGGATGGAAGCAGTCCAAACTGGATAACGTGTTCCCCACATCTAAATACCGTAATGTAATACAATCATATTAAAGTATACACTTACAGTCTTTTAAAACTGAATCCATGACCCTCTGTTAAATACCACAACTTCAAGCCTTTTCTATCTCCATGTAGCAAACACAAACCTTTGAGGTCAAATATTATAAAAACAACCCAATATTCTATTTGTTATCACTCAATGGATTACGTCAACTGGACAGAATGGATATTCAGTTTACATGTCATGAAGAAACATTGTTCAACCCAATAACTACTAGGCCTTTTTTCTGGAAAGTTCCAGTCACTTATTCAAAGTGTTGTTGCTTAGTGTTCATACATGCATACACAGATCCCTGCCACACGGGGGGAAAGAAACACGCGGCGGCGGGATCACATTGATCCCCTAAGCTGCGGCGCATTCCCTCCCCGGCACGATCAGATGCCGGGGAAAGCGACAGTGGGGAATGGGAGACTGCCGAACTGCGCATGTCAGAAGGACGCGCCGGCGATACCACGGCCGGCCTTGATGCGGCCACGCTGGAAGAACAACCTCCCAGATGTTGCGGTGAGATCGTGCCCGTTTGCTGCGCCCCCAATTCGTCCCTCTCCTGGGCCAAACCTTTACATGTGACCAGGGCCACACAGAACCAAACTCCAATTTTCTTCAGGGCCTGTTTTTCTTCTCAGTAAGTTTAAAAGACTTACTGCTTTCCAAAGATTTATTCCAAAGATTTAATACATGTATAAGGAAAGAGTAAATTTTGACCCAAAAAACCCATTCGGATTCTTTAAACCTCTACTAAAAAATAAAATTCAACATACTGAATTATATTTAAATACTTAGGATTTATAAATCAGGCCATGTACTAAGAGCTAATCTTTATTTTAAAATTTCACTGGAAAAGAAAAAAAGAAAGAAACGTACAGCTTCAACCATGTCTCTCCGTGTCAGTCACAGTCTTTTCCCCAGGGAACAACTGCAGCTCTAAAGTGTTACAAATTCGGTATAACTAATTCAAAGGGATTTTCTGGTAGTTTTTGACTGGAACAACAGCTGCAACAATGAACAGTAATTTCTAAGCTGCTGCTTGCTGTTTTATTTTACATCTTTCAAATCACGCAAAGGCGCCATTTGACAACTGAGGCTGGAGGACGGAGTCCTGAGCAACAATGAAAAAGGCAGTTCTACTGGATTGCTCACAACTCAACTATTAGCAAGACAGGATTCTGAAATCATGTAGCATCCAGTGATAGGTGCTTTCCACTTTAATATTTGTACTTGTTTGGGGCCTGTTCAGAAACTGGTTGCTTTTCAGTACACATCTATGATGAATGGTCATATTGTAAGGTGCTAGAGGACCGGAACTGGGGACTTTGTAAGCATTTTGTAGTTCCCCACTTACACCTCACAGCTCCAATCACACTATCACAATTCAAATTAAGAGATAAATGTTTTTCCCTTGTTGGACTTTCATGAAATGCATGTGTAAGCGATGGTGTGTTGAGTTTGCAAACAAAATCTATGAACCTGACTTTATGTAGTATTGAAGCCAGATGTCGTAGCAATTTGGACCTTCAAAATGACGGCCACGTTACATTATTCTATCAAGATCAATTCAGAATGCCCTCCTTGATTTGTTTTGTCCTCCAACAAAAAATACATTAAAAATCTTTTTCTCTACAGGGGTAAAAAGCAGCAAAGCCTATATGATTTATTGAGGCTGCATCTAAAATTTTACTTCTAAGTAAGAGCAATCTTTTAAAAATGTAAATAAAAAGAATTACTGGCTGTCCAAAATTTCACTGAGGTAATGCAAGTGATGTCACAGAATACCAGAATTTTGGCATTCAAAACTAGCCTTAAATTAACTGCAAATCCCACAGGTTTTCATATGTACTGTCTTGAGGATTCCAAAGATCTTGGTGTACAAACTAATTTAAAAGAAACGAAGAAATTAAAAATGGAAAGAAGTTAAAAATTACTATTAATGAATCTCTCCTTATATATAATTGAACAGTGGGTGCCAAAGTTCTAATTCTAAAATGCACTCCCTTAGTGTATGGCTGATGGCACTGCTCCTCAGCATATATCGCCACCAATCAGAAGGCAAAGCCCGGGTCCCGCCCACACCACAACTGCTGCGACAACCTGGTCTTTTGCATATGGAAGCTGATTGGACTTCACTCCATTCCACACCTCAAACTCCCTCCCCCCCGCAAGGCAGTTGGAATGTCAGTTGCATATGGAATCTGCTGTATTCTGGTGGTGTGCAGGTCCCAGATTTATGTTTTAAAAGCAGACTGACACTGTTTGCCCAAAGCCAGAGCACTCTCCCAGAGCCTCTTTCTAGATCTCGTTGTATTTATTTCCACAACGGGCCTTATTTCTAGTATATATATAAAAACTAAGAGAATAGAGGTGTGCATTCCCCCCCCTCTTTTCGGTTCAGGTCTATTGGACCCCCAAAAAATTCAGGATTTCCAAAAAAGCCCAGATCCCAATACCAGCAAAGTATTCGGATCCAAGATTTTTCAGAAATTTTCAGCTTGGGAAGATCAAAATGCACACTCCTAACAGAGGATTCTGTGGCATGTGTTATAAACAGGCTGCAGTTTTCTAAAACGATGGAGCAGCCCTCAGCATTCCATAGTACCAGAGTTCCTCCTAATGACTGACTGCCATCAGGGATAAAGGGCCAAAACCGAGATCGTGTCCATCAGCTCAGGCAAGGAGACTGCTGGTCAGCAGGCTAGGCGGTACAGCAACACAATCCCCATTCCGTCCCAAGTCCGTAGCTTCAGGTACACACATTCAGAACTGGGGCTCTGGCTAACAAAGCATCCAGTGAGCGCCACAGAGGCCTGATAGATCACAGCCATTACCATTTGTATAATGGGAGATTATACAGAGGGTTTCTGCTCATCTAAAGCCTGCTGTAAAGCGGGGTAAAAGGTAAAGGTAAAGGTTCCCTTGCTCGAAAGCCAGTCGAATCCGACTCTAGGGTTGCGGTACTCATCTCCGTTTCAAAGCCGAAGAGCCAGCGCTGTCCGAAGACGTTTCCGTGGTCATGTGGCCGGCATGACTAAACACCAAGGCGCATGGAACGCTGTTACCTTCCCACCGAAGTGGTCCCTATTTATCTACTTGCAATTTCTTGCTTTCGAACTGCTAGGTTGGCAGGAGCTGGAACTAGAGACGGGAGCTCACTCCGGCATGCGGCACACTCGGGTCTCGAACTGCTGAACTACTGACCTTCCACAGCCTGCAGTTCAGCGTCTTAACCACTTGAGCCACCGCAGCTAGTTCAATTTAATTTTTTAATTCATATCCTGTTTTTCGCCTTTGTGGGAACCCAAAGCGGCTTATCACATCATTCTGCTCTCCTCCACTCTATCCTCATGACACCAAAGCTGCGAGGTAGGTTAGGTTGAGCGACTGTGAGGAGCACAAGGTCACCCAGTGAGCTTCCAGAGTGAGGATCTGAACCTGACTCTCCCAGGTCCCAGACCAACATTCTAACCAGTACTCCAACCAGTGGAGAACCAGCATGGTGTAATGGTTAACACTGGCAGTCTCTAATCTGGAGAACTGGGTTTGATTTCCCACTCCTGCACAGAAAACCTACTGGGTGGCCTTGGGCCAGGCACAGCTCTCTCTGAACTCTCTCGGCCATACCCACCTCACAAGGTCCCTGTTGTGGGGAGGGGAAAGGAAGGCAATTGTCAGCCACTTTGAGATTAAGAACATAAGAACATAAAAGACGCCAATGTTGGATCAGGCCAAGGGCCCATCCAGTCCAACACTCTGTGTCAAACAGTGGCCAGAAATACCAGTGCCATCAGGAGGTCCAGCAGTGGGGCCAGGACATTAGAAGCCCTCCCACTGTTGACCCCCCCCCCAAGCACCAAGAAGACAGAGCATCACTTGCCCCAGAGTCCCTATCTATACCTTGTGGCTAATAGCCACTGATGGACCTCTGCTCCATATGCTTATCTAATTCCCTTTTGAAGCCGTCCATGCTTGTAGCCGCCACCACTTCCTGTGGCAGTGAATTCCATGTGTTAATCGCTCTTTGGGTGAAGAAGTACTTCCTTTTATCCATTCTAACCCGACCGCTCAGCAATTTCATGGAGATTCCTTAAGGTAGGGAAAAGAGGGGCATAAAAACCTACTCTTCTTCTTCCACAGCATGCCAGATCTCTGTACAGGCAAAAACGGAACACTGCACACAGTTAGCAGTCCATTTTCTGTGAAGGTTTTCCCCTCTTACCTAGTTCAATGATCAAATAGGCTGAATCAGTGAAGTTAATGACCTTTTTGAAAGCATACATGTTCAATCCACCAAACATTTCTGCTGGGTGCCTGGTCTGAATAGGGCAACTTTACTGGAAAGGTTGAGGGGATGTTACCTATGTTCAGAGCTGTTTCTTGTTTGTCCCCTGTCAGAATCCAAATCTTGATCTCTGCTTTCATTAATGTGGATATGGTTTCTGGGACACCCGCTTGAAGGCGGTCTTCAATGGCCGTTGCTCCAAGAAGCAGTAAATCCTGAAATGGGTGGGAGACAAAAGAATTGGGAGCGTTTGTTCTCCTCAAACCAATTTCTGCTTGGACTGTGCTCAAAAAAAACCAAATTAATGACAGCAGCCGGTGCCATGTCCTTTCTACTGCCCTCTGACAAGAGATGTACAAAGTAGTTAACTTTCGTTGTTCCTTCTGGAAGAAAATTGAACATTTCAGAGGACCATCAGAGAAGCAAGAGCTTTGATCAGAAGGAGGGCAATGTTTCAAAAGCAATTAATGGTAATTGCAACTTTAAACGATAGCCAGTGGAGAAAGGCACGTAGCCGTGCATGGACCAGATTGCCATGGCAACGTCCTTAACAGCTTTAATTGGTGTATTTCTTAAGTTCTGAAAGAAGAGATGGCATGGCATCGTGTATACGTCCTGCTCTCAAAATGTAAATATGAACTAGATGCAAATAATTAAAAATTAAGCTATCACTTGACTTAACCGCTTTGCTGACACATAAATGAAACAATCATTTATCCATCTTTTTACATCTCATATAAACCTACTGACTTTAAAAAAAAAGAATGTGACAAGTCCTACACACACCTATTTAGGCATAAAGTCCAACTGTACTTTGAAGGGCTTACTTTTCAGTAAAAATGCTTAACACTGAGCTGCATGATGTGATGTAAGTTGCTGAAACTTGCAAGCAGCAGAGCACGGGGTCTGGGATTCTGCTGATTCCCATCAGTGCTAGGGACCCCTTCCACCTTTTTCAGATAACAGATGATTACAAACAAGGGTTCACTGTCTACACCTAGAACCCTATTTTTAAATTTAGTATAATCATTCTAGTTAACATCTAGCCCAGTACAGCCTTCTCGCAACCCTCCATGGTCCCAGGCAAAGCCCCCTTCTGCCCTGACATTCAGTACTCCCCAGGACCAGGGACTGAACCCAAACTCCCCATAAGCAAACTACGTGCTCAACTTCCGAGCTATATTTAGAGCTCCACTCTAAACCCCACAGGAGTGACACAGAGCTCCAGACACTGGTGCAGCCTTGTGCCCACCAAGAGCTTCAAAAGACTGTTTTTAGCATCAGGCTAGGGTTGCTTCCACACAGGGCTGACACCCCGTGTATCTCTCATTGCCACCCTGAATACAGAAGCATTTACACTAGCAAAGGAACATACACACTGCACTTTCCTTGCCTTAGCCCCTAGCAGTCACCACTCCCCTCCCCTGCGACACCAGAGGGATTTGGGGGTGAGGGTCACTTTTTAAAAATCTGATCGTTACTATACCACTGTAGTGTTAACACGCTATATTTATTTATTTAGAAAAAAAGGCAACTTACAGAATAAAAATAATGAAAACAAAACACTAAAAGATACTGATTAAAATCCAGCATTAAAAACCCAGCCCAACATAAAAACATGGACCATAAAAACAGCTTAAAATAACAGTTTCCAGACTAAAAAAGAATTAAAAGATCAAGCCCGGGTGAACAGAAACTTTTTGGCCTGATACCTAAAAGAAAGCAGTGTAGGTGGCCAGGTGAACCTGAAGGAGAAGGACATTCCTCAGGGGAGGTGCTACTACTGAAAAAGCCCTGCCTTTGATTTCCACCCACCTCACCTCTGAAGGTGGGAACAAACAGAACAGAGATTTGTAAGGCAGATCTTAACTGGTAGGCTGGACAATATGGGAGGGGGCAGTCTTTCAGGTATCCTGAGCTCAAACCATTCAGGACTATAAAGATAGAACAAGAATTTTTTTAAAAAGCATTTTAAAAGCTCTCTAGTGGCGTGGCGCGGGGGTGGGGCTGAGGCGAAGAAATGACACTACTGTGCAATCTTTACAAAAAGATTAGGATATCTGGATGTTAAAAAGAAACCCACTCCAGTCTGGATGACAAACCAAATCACAACCTCCACTTGGATGTAGTCTAGGCTGCCTAGATCTTCAGTTTGCCTTACTTAGATTGATGCCATAGTTGCAGAACAGGAACAGTCATACTCTCAAGCGGAATATGTAGGCATTCGGCAATTTTGGTCAGGGACATGTATATTTCATGTTTGGCACTCAAATGTTTAGCTGGGTACAGGCAAATCTTGCTTTTGGAAGCAGTTCTTATAGTAGTGGTTTTATTTCCCTACCAGCAGCAACCCAGCAATCCCATAGTACAGCAAGACTGGGGAGGGGTCATGGCTCAGTGGCAGAGCAGCTGTATCACCCAGTGCAGGGAGCGGTGGCGCAGGGAGTATAACACCTGCATTTAACATCTACTCGAGCACCTGTTCGAGTCCCACCGTGGTCGAGGTGAGCTCTCGACCCTTAGTCCTAGCTCCCGCCCACCCAGCGGTTCGAAAGCCAAGTAACTATCTATCGGCGAGTAGATAAATGGGTACCCACCCTTAGTAGGGTGGGGGGCACCCTCCTCCGTCTATGGAGGTGTGTGGAGAAGCAGCGGCACTGGCAGCAATGGCGGCGATAGCGACGGCGAGAACAG